CTACTCTTTTTGTTTCTTGCTCTCTCATTAGCTCTTCTTCCAATAATTGAAAAATTCTCTAAGGGAAAAAGTCAGTTTTTCTTATCTCTGGCTCTCTTAGGGCCATGACAATCATTTATCAATCCGGACCATTCGTGACAGGGGTTGGCGACAGGGGAGCTGAGGTACCGCTGAATTTGCGGGGTGATCCTGTGACAAATTTAAGTTTTTCTTCCTGATGCCTTCATAAGATTGAGACTGTGACCTTTGTATTCATAGGTAACAAGCTCCAAAGAAAATGCCCAGGAGTTCTTTCTCCCGTAACCCCTGCCAAAGTTTTTTGTTGCATGACCACACTTACAGCCCTACTTGCAACCGTGGTTGTACTTTCCGTTCTTTTGGCAGGTAAGTTACTTGTTCTCCAAACTTTACAATGCTCTTTGCACACTTATATTGCCAACAAATAGTTATCGAGTTCCACTGTGTCAGGCACTGTGTAAAGTGCTTGAAGTATATCAGTGAACAAAACATGCAAAAAAAAAACAAAACCCTAAAACCAAAAAAAACCCCTGCTCCCAGGGAACTTCTAGCAGAAAGTCACAGACACTATGATAAATCAAATGGAAGTGGAAGAGATTGAGATACCCGTGTAGTGGCCAGTGTGAGCCTCCTTGAGAAGATGACCTTTCAGCAAACTTTTGAAGAGACGAAGGAGCCATGTGGCGTTCTGGGGGAAGGCATCCAGGTGGAGCGAACAAGTAGAAAAAAAAAAGAGAAACCCCCTTGGGGTGTATGAGGAACAGAAAAGAGGCCTCTGTAGCTAAAGCAAGGTGAGAATGCGAAAAAGTAGCAGGCCGGGGGTAGGGAAGCCATAGCCTTAAGAGCCAGTTCAAGGCTTTGACTTTTATTTGGAGTGTGGTGGGGAGGATCGGCAAGAGGCAGTCATGAGAGAGGAACGCCATGATGGCACTTTCATTGTAGAAGAATCATTTTGACTGCTGTATTGGAAGAAAAGGGCAGAATCAGGAATTAAGATAATCTTGTAGAAATTCAGGCCAGAGATGAGGGTGGCTTGGGCCTGAGGGGAACAGTGGAAGTGGGACGGGGTGGTACAATTCTGGATATTTTGAAATTTAAGTCAACAGTATTTTCTATCAGATTGGATAAGGAAGGGAAAGGTAAGCTTATGAACCAAAAATGTGTTTTCTTCCCATAGCCTACACTCTGAAATCTTGCTGCTTTCAGAGCATGTAACAAGGGCCAAAATATTTTTATACCTATTCAACAGAAATACATAGAAAACAGAACACTACAGGAAACCCTACATTGAATTTTGTCCCTGGAATCAATCTTTGAATTGTGTGATGTCTTGTCCACCAGGAGGCTTATACCCCCTTAAAAACGTACCATATATAGAAA